GTGTAAACATTATTCGGGTGAGCGTAGAAAACCCGGTTGTGATAATGGATTTCTCCCCGGGAGTGGGGAGCGGAGACGTAGGACGGAAGGTCCGAACTCCGTGATCATATCTTGTGTTTGAGTGTGCTTTGGCGTTTATTTATACTTGTGTTTATATTTATTGTCGCCATTGTCATTAGCTCATTATTTATAAGATTACTCATCATAGATTTTAACTTATCTACTTCTAACATAGCATCACGTTTTTCATGAAGCAAACTAGCATTTTCAATTTTCAAATTTTCATTGCATTCTTTAAGAATTATATTTTCATTTGCAATAAAATTAAACTTAGTAGCTAGTGTTTCATGAGTGGATTTCATATTAACATACTTACTCTTTACATCAATATAGCAATTGTGTAATTTTTCAAACTCAAGAGCAAGTTCATCAAAAGTAATAATATCATCGTTATTGCATACCCCCCCCCCTCTAGGGTCTAACAGTATTGTACATGGAGATGAGGCTTCCTTAGAACTCAAAGCGGGATTTTCCAACGCTTGTTGAATAGCCTCCAATTTCCCTTCATGTGCTTCAATAAGTTTCCATAAAGCGTAAGCACTATCAAAATTAGCAAATTTGTTAGAAAACGATGAGTGAAAAACATTAATCAAATATTCTAACAAAAGCTTATTCATGTTAAACAATTTTTTATCATTTTCACACCATTTGGATTTTTCCAAAATGGGAACAACATAGGCATCCTTAATAATTTCCCATAAATCAAATTGTTTAGATTGAACGAAAAGTTTGAATCTAATACGCCATTGAGCATAGGGAAAAATATCCAAACGAGGAGTAATATTAATAGAATATCCTAAACAAGATGAATCATACATATCCATAAAGATGAAATGCAAGAAGCACAATGTAATTAAAATTAGATCAGCACAAATTCAATAACTTGGATCTTTAACTCAAGGCGGTTAGTCCTTAAATCAAAGAGCACCAAGCTCTGATACTAATTGTTAGACCCTAGAGGGGGTGATTAGGATCGTATGCTAATCTAATCCCAATTAAAAGCTAATTAAAATTATGTTGATCAATTTGTTCTTGCAAGAAGAAATATGATATGGATATGAACAAAAAAGATGAATAAAATATACGCTAAGCAAAATACAAACACACGATATGTTTACGAGGTTCGGTCACCACGACCTACGTCCCCTCTCCTCACCTCGAGGATATATCCACTATCACAATCCGGTTTGGAAGCCGGAACTTCTACACACTCGGTTTACAAGATCACCGAAAACTCTCACACTACAAAAACACTATACAATCACACTTTACACACTAAGTGTAGGAACCTAGCCCGTGTCCTCCTCCTCAAGTGCTCGATTACAACCTCTCCCTAGGTTCGTCAATCGACGCCACTCCTATTGGATTTGACCCCGTCTCTCTCTCCTCACACTTCTCTCGGTGTACAAGTGTGTTACAAGTGAATCTCACAAATAAAGGTTCAATACAATGATTTGTTCTCAATTAACAAGTGAGAACACAATGAAGCTCACACTCACTAAATCCCACACCACAACCCACAATATAATATGAGAATATAAAGCTCAATAAGTGTGTGTGATAATAGTGAATGAAACTCAATAAATATAACTCAATGAATATAGCTTAATCAATTGAAAGTGAAATAACAAGCTATATAAGAATGGGTTTAGAAAACTTCTCAATGAATAAGAAGAGCTGAGGAAATGATGATCTCAATAAGATTTGAAAGCCTCTTCTTGTTGTAGAAAAACTTCTCTTGAAAACTGATTACGGAATTTTCGGTCGACCGGATTTTCTCTCGGTCGACCGGTGCGGTCGACCGCGAGCATGAGCTCAGAAAACCACTGTCGGTCGACCGGACCGGTCGACTGAAAACTGATATTTGCATATTTACAGGTTTTGGGGCAGTTTTGAAAATTCATTAAAAATATTAAATCAAATCCAAAAATGGTGAAACTTTGGGGAAAGTTTCTAAATGATGAAATAAACATGTTTGAAAAGGAATTTTTGGAAAATCAATTTTTTTTGTGAAAACTCCCTGTTTTTGAAAAGTGTTCAGAAAACCTGTTTTTCGTGAACATGAAAATTGACATAAGGCTTGTAAACATGTATATATATATTATGCATGTATTATATATATATAATGAAGTATGAAAGAGCTGTAAATATGAGATAAAAGTTATTGTAACAACGTTTGATGAAAATCATTTATATGATAGAAAACCTCAAAATTCGTGTTAAGTGTACATATATTGAGCTTAGATATAATCATACAATATATGTAAGTAAACCAAACATATACCTAGGTAAATCCACACATATGAACTTGAATCTTTAACGCTTGATTGACGTGTGTTGAAATACCTGAAAAGAGAAACATAAACACAAAAACTAGAGAATATATTAGCGATAAATTGTTTGACAAATCATCATCAAAACTATAGGGTCAACAGTTGGGACGTTCTATATGGATCCTATGATAAGATTCAATTTTGGGCTATGTCATTCTCTATATAAAATGAGCCTAAACCATGTTTTTGTTTGTGGCATCATACTTGAAGTCCTGAGTAACACTCTGAAAGTATTGTCAAAGTTAAAAATCATACAAGTAGAATGGGCAACAATCTAACCCAGTTTGTAGGAAGCCCGTGTTTTTGTTGATTGTGGTCCAGTTGGTAGCAATCATAAAAATCATTATGGCTGGGCATATTCGGTTCGATTCGGTTTTATGCCCAATCCGCATCCAATCCGAATTTTTCGGATTCTCAAAACTCTTATCCAGATCCAGATTTTTTCCCCTTCATCCGAATATTCGGCCCAACCGAAATTCGGTTCGGTTTGGTTTGGTTTCGGTTTTGAATTTGCAAAGAGTTCTATCCAAAGACTTCTGTTGTGAATTTGCAAGCAGGGCATTGTCCTCATGATGAGGTTCCTGAGCTCACCAACAAAGCTTTATTAGACTGGTTATCATCTTTAGAATAAAATTTTGAGTTGATATAATTACGCAGAGAACTGATGTTTTAAAGATGTTGTTCATATAATACAGCATGCTTATCTCTTGTAAGTATCATGTACATAACACATTTTGTGATTGATTTGAATCTTATGTAATTCTCAAGATCTTTTCTGCGAAATTTTTTAACTAAAGTTTAAGTTTATTTAATTACACGGGGGAGTGATATTTTGTATGATATTGTTCATATAATGTAGCATATGCATCTTTTGTAAGTGCATCATGTGCATAACAAATTTTCTGGATTGATTTGAATCTTTACTTAGTTCTCAAGGATATTTTTCTGTGATATTGTTGTACTCATTGCTTGAAACTGTTCCTTGCGCCGTTTGAATCTATTGGATGATAACAGGAAAAGTTTTGAGGTATAAGTTTAGTCTCTAAACCGCCCAACAGAATTCGGGTCGGTTTTTTTTGGGCGGTTCAGGGGTTCAAACCGGATCCAAACCGATTTAATTCGGTTCGGGCGGTTTAGAGACTTCTTCTCATCCATTTAATTCGGTTCGGTTAACCGGTCCGTTTTTTCGGGCGGTTTTTTCGGTTGAACCGGTTTTTTTCGGTTTTTGCCCACCCTTAAAAATCATACATCAATTGTAGTAGCTTCACATGTTAAACGACAGATGAAGATGGATTCTACATATTAGTCCCTTACATCTAGAATAATTCCATATAAGTCCCTCGATCTGCAATAACTCCATGTTAGTCCCCTAAATCTTCGAAATTGCTCAAAATTGCTCAGTAATCCCTCAATGACCAAAGCACCTTATTTCACTTTATTATCTCATAGTTCTTTAAACTTTGATATCCAAGATCTACAACAATTCCATGTTAGTCCTTCAAATCTGTAACAATTCCATATAATTTTTTCAAACACTTCGCTATGAGAAATGTTATAATTTTTAACTTTGATATACAAAGGTTTGCTTTTGACACTTGGATACCCAAACTTTGGTTAGAATATCAAAGCCAAAAATATGTAAACTTTAAGGTACCATTGTAAAATACAAATCTTTGTGGTATCAAAGTTAAAATGTTTCTAATTTTGGGGTATTAAAAGTGTTAAACAACTTTGAGTTATTAAAGATAAAAAGGTGGTTTTAGAGAATAGGATTCATCAAGCAAGTTCCGCTAAGGTAGTCGTGAAATTTACTTTGTAAGCAAGTAAATCCACGTGACAGATTCCATTAGTGGAACAAGGTTCATCTGACATGTATTACAATCAACGAAGTTAAGGAAGTTGGTAATTAGAGGAATTGATTTTCAAAGATTCGATATGATTTGAACGATTTTAAAAACCACAGAAAAAATAAAAATGCAAAGATATAATAAGCTAAAGGATAAATTGCACATAACTCCCTCATCTATACCTTCAATTAGCTCATTTATTAGCCTTTATCCTCTCTCAATTCTTAAAAAAGATTGTCATGTGCTGATAAATAGCTTAGGGGGTTAATAGATGAGGGGTTTATGTACAATTTATCGTAAGTTTATCATCAATGTAGTACTTTCAAATTTTAAAACATTTTGGACATCGACTAGATTTAAAATAACTTCAAGGAATATTAACTATTATATTCATACATATTGACCATTATAGTAAAAGTTGCACATAAAACTTATTTGTAAATATAGCCTTTGTTTATCTAATTTCTACATATGTAAAAGAGATTAATGGGTATTCATGTCACAGGAGGAGACTTCCTACTTGACGCCTATGTGGCTCAATCCCCACCATCCTCATAAAATAGGAGGGAGTGTGTGAGTTTGTGGGAATTTGTGCCTACTTTATGAGGATAGTGAGGATTGTGCCACAGACGATAAGGAGGGAAATCTCCTCCAATGACAAGAGTACTCGTTAAATTTAGCACGTGCATCGCACGTGCCTCTGTTAACTAATGTTATTAAAAAGATATTTACACGTGGCAGTGCAAAAAACGCCAAACCCCGTGCGCCCACTACTGGTCCTGCTTCAGGCTTGCTCTCCTTCTCTCCCTCTTCCGTCGATCGGATCCAAAACCCTAATCCGAGAATCGAGTAATGGAGAGCAGCGGCAGCGAATCGTTGGGGTCATCCACAGCCCCGCTGGCGTGGCACGATTTCCTCGAGCGCATGCGCCATCCATCCGCCGCTGATTTCGTCAAATCCATCAAGAGGTAATTTGTTAATCTGATTTGATCCTGATAACGCTAAAGCACTTGAATTTTGGATTTAAAAAAAAACCAATTTTGTTATACTGGAGCTCTTTAATTTCCTAAAGTTTACAATAATGAAGGGTCTGTTTGCAAAATAAACCCGTGATAAGGGAATTACTTAATTTGATTTGATGCTGATAATGATAACCCTTCTGAATTTTGGATATATAGTGGAAAACCCAATTCTCATTATAGAGGAACTCTTTAATTTTCAAGTATTCATTATATTGACAGTAGGGCTGTTTGCAACTTACATCTTCGAACTAAACCCATTCTATTGATGGATAATTTCTTAAGCGACATGAATCTCCTTGGAAAGAAAATTAAGGGTTTATTTGCCAGCTTGAAAGCTAAAAGATCGAAGATTAAAGATGTATTGAAGTGGTAGAAGATTTGGTTTTTTTCCCTTTCCTTGTGGATTCTTATTTACTAGTGTAAGCGATGCATAAATGTATAGGAAATAAATCTCTTGTTTAGAGATTAGCAGTTCCGTATCTTTGGAAAGATTGCCACACACCTCAATGTACGAATAACGGTTTGGAGGCAATCACACCAAGATGGCGAAAAGCTCCCATGAATCACCCCACGAAAAATCCAAAAAATATAGAATTGAGAGAGGAAGGAGGAGATGATAATATTCTTTTCTCTATATCCCTTTCTTTTCATAGTATGATCTTATTAAAGAGGGAAATTGATCTAATTTTAACTGAATTAGAAGTAGTCAAATATCTTATCTCTAAGATAAGTCCTACTTATTTGGGTGTATCATTATCCATCTATGACTAACATCCTCCCACTCACACAAATGAGTAGGTGTCATCTATAGCTCCATGAACCATTAACTCCCGAGTCAAAATCTTCCAGAGATTCTCCTTCCTTTTCAATAATGCATCTATACATTGTTAGAGCGACGTGGATTGTTGAGAACCTGCAAGTGGGTGGCCTTACGACTAGATCTGTTAGGACTGACACAAAGATCTCTCTAAAGAAAAGCAAATATATACAATAAAAATGTAAGTATGTGGTATCTCCTACCATGGATCTGATTAGCACGTCTGCTCAAGTACCTTCGATCCCTCAAAGAAGCATACATGAACACCACAATCTACCCTTGGTTTGTCGCACTCTTAAATCTAGCCTCCGAGAGTTGCACATGCGATGCAATCAAGAGACATGTCAATTGATCTTTCTCTGGTTTTGAATAGTTGAGTGTGTTAATCACCCGCTTTCCCGATAATGCCTTTTATGTATGATATTGTCTCATTGCAGCAGTAAATAGCAGCCAAAGTGGCAAATGCTTATAATAGCCTTTCCAAACAGCCCAGTATCTTTAAGGGTACAGTGATAGCCCTGTATTACTGACAATCATCTATAAGGGTTCACGTAATAAGGGAGTAGGGATCAATTCATCGACCTCTTTATTTCGGTCCAAGCACACGCCTTATAGTTAAATGCTATGGTATTACTCCTCTCTACTTGATAGTATACATCATCAAATGAATACCATACAGGCCCAAATCCCATTGCCTCGTAATGAACTTGTTCGGCCATACCGTCCCATGATATGTCTGGGATCTCCTAGCAAGCCCGCAAGCCGTGCGCCAAGTTAAACCCTAGTTTAGCTGATAGTAAATAAATAAAGTGAACGTGGGGTTTTCACTTTGATCACTTTAACGTATAAGTATACAACAACCTCATCCTAATACCGTTCGGGTGATCAATAGAGCGCTCTCACTATCGCCATACCCAGTAATGCGATAGTGGTGTCACTGCTCTAAACCAAATGACATTGGTCTCAGCTTCGGTAATTGTCACAGCTCCGAAGGGAATCTCTTGTATGATAAGATCTCCTACCTACTGACATAACTTTCTAATAGTGCACCCAGTGCCCTTTGTGTACTCTATACACATTACATAAGAATATATTCCATGTCAAAATAATCAAACAATAATAAGACAAGCAAATCCCATATATGCATAAATATAGATGAGAAAATATTTATTAAAAACAACATAATATCTCATACAGTTGCCATCCATAATATTCTGAGTGTCTCAGAACCTAACTAGTACAAAATGCAAGGTTTAAATTTTGGTTATCGAAAATATGTCGGACGTTCAAAATTCATATCGGATCCCAGTTATCAGGGATATATAAGGGATAAGTAGTAAAAATTTGAGTGTTACGTCTGATGGCGAGCATCTATAATATAATGCTCTCAAATATAATCTAAGCACATTTAATAAAATGTCAAGAGATGGTATTTGAAAGAGGCCTTTGTTTGAGAAATTTGCAAGCAATTTGGGGGAGAGAACAATGGAGGCTGAGAGAATTAAGATTACATGATGAGCGAATATGAAATAGAAAAGGAGAACATGATTTTTATTTAGTGGATCCGGATCGGGTATGGAATAAAGATGGTTGCTGCCTCCAAAACTAAACCAGTTCACTTAATATTTAAATTATAGAAAATTGAGCTATTTTTAATCAAGGAGAAATCGGCTGTTTTATCAGATTTACGTTGATATACAGGGACAAATCGGCCGAAAACAATATGCAATAAATTTTTACATAAATCGTATCGGTCATGGCTCAAACCCTATATATCTATGATTAATCGATAAAATCCACCTATTTCTAAAACACTGATAAAACATCACCACAGACATAGCCGTAAAGCTCTTGTGTGCTCTATGAACTGCTTAGTTTTTCCCTTCATCAAAATAGATCCGTGATCTACTGACTCGTTGATATGTACTTCAACTGACCTCCTCTTGCTTCTTGATGAAATGGTACCAAATCTGGATATGCTTTGATTTTTCATGATACTTTGGGTCTTTCGAATTTGTAATTGCCGACATGCTATCACAATGAAGGATCATCTTAGCCTGTACAGTTGGCACTATCGTTAGACTCTTCAAGAATTTACGTAGCCAAACTGCCTCTTGTGCTGCCTCTTGTGCTGCCGCACATATTCTGCCTCCATGGTGGAAAGGGCAATGCACTCTTGCTTTTTACTATACCATGAAATGATCCTACCATTTAGTAAGAAGGCATAACCAAACGTTGATGCGAGCTCATCCTAGTTGCCGACACAGTCAGCATTTGTATATCCTCGTAATCGAGCTTGTCTGAACCGCCATAACACCATGCAAAATGAGCAGTCCCACTCAGATGTCTGGGAATCCTCTTGACTCCTCTCTAGTGAGCCATACTATGATTGGACTAATACCTATTCAATAGTGCTATTGCAAAAGATATATCTGGTTTTGTACACATCATAGCATATAAGACTACCAACTACACTTCTGTAAGGAATGGTTAGCATTTATTTCTTTTCTACTTTAGTCTTCGGATATTGCTATCGACTTAGAGCATGACTCTTAGTGATTGGAGGTCTAACGAGTTTACAACCTTTCATGCAAAACTATTCTAAGATCTTCCTTATATAAGTCTTCTGAAATAAATCTAAGGTCCTCGTAGAATGGTCCATCAGAATCTAAATTCTAAGGGCAAATCTAGCATCATCCATGTCCTTCATTTTAAAGGTGGAGGACGGCTAACTCCAAGTGGCATTAATGGATTCCATGTTGTTCCCAGCCAGCAGTTTGTTGTCAACATATAATGACATGATCTCAAACATACTACCAACTCACCGTAGATAGACACAACTATCTTGATGACTCACCCGAAAACTATAACCCGGTATGGTTTGATGGAATAAAAAATATCACACGCTAGACTGTTTCAAGTCATAGATAGATCTTTTCAACTTGCACATCTTGTGTTCAAGTCCTTTGTCAATGAAACCAGTAGGCTGGCCATATAGATCTCCTCTTCCAGTTCACTATAGAGAAAACCTGTCTTGACACCTATCTGGACTAGTTCAAGATCCATCTTCACTATAATTGTTAATATCATACGAATATAACTGATTCTTACCACCGGAAAGAACATCTCTTCATAGTCCACCCCACTCTTCTAGGCGTACCCTTCCACTATCAAGTGTGCCTTGAACCACTCAATTGTCCCACCCTCCTTTCGCTTAACCTTAAAGACCCACTTGTTCTTAATAGTTTTACGTCTGACTGGAAGATTCGTCATGTCCCAGACTTGGTTCTTCCTCATAGACTTAAGCTCCTCATCCATCGTTGCCTTCCACTCTTTCGCTACAGGCCCAGAAATAGCATCCTCAAAATATTTAGGTTCCGCAATATCATGTGGTGCTACCATGAACGCTTCCCCATCGATTTTAAAATGTTGCCTGGGTACTAGTCCGCGTTACGATCTCTGAGGTTGAGATTTCATAAATGGCTCCAAGTGTAGATGCATCTCACTCCCACTATCTCCAACTGGTAGATGAACTTCTTCTTCTATAACTAGCTCTGTGAGACTGTCCTCGGTCACGTGCAAACCCGAATTCTGACCTATATCTCCTCTGCGCGGGAAGTCCTCAAGGAACTCAACATGTCACGACTCTAACTCAGTCACAGTCCCTACGTCCTACTCACTTATAAACACATATCCCATTGAGTGTTTGGAATGATATATGAAAATACAAATTTTCCTCTAAGGCCCAACTTGCCATAGTGACGGGAAGTGGTGTGTATGTGGCACACCCCTATGGATGTAAGTGATCCAACACTTGCGTGTTGCCCGTCCATAACTCATAAGGTATTGACTATACTAATTTTGAAGGTACACGGTTTAGAATGTATGCGCTCGTCAATAGCATGTTTCTCCAAAACGAAATGAATAGATTGGCATGTGCCATCGTACTCCGAACCATATCAAGTAGTCATGTTCTCCTTTTTGCAACACCATTTTGTTATGGAGTATAGGGCATTGTTAGTTGTCAGACTTTTCCCTTCTCATCATACAGTTCCTTGAACTGAGTGGATAGATACTCTCTACCACGATTAGTGCGCAAAACCATAATGCTTTTGCCTAATTAATTTTC